GTTGTCCACAAAGCAGTTTCTCAACACAAAATAATAAAAAAACAATCACTTGAAAATGGTGTTAACCAGAAATGTGTTAATATCTTGGAAATAAGTCATCCAGCATGAAGAAAGCATGAAAACAACAGAAGAAATATTAGTACTGCATGACAGATATGCACTAAATGATTATCAACTTGAGCATATATCAATCTATCTATCAATCTAAAACGCTTTTTTCTGGGAAGTTATACAGCGCTGATAAGCACCATTAGTGCAGCATTAAGAATGGAGCAGGAGCTCAGCTGTTGATTATTAAATGAAGAATATCACAGTATTTAGTGCTGTTACATAAACCCATTTGTTGTGAGTATAATTACTCCTCTAAAGTCTGGCTGAATGTAAAATGTCTTCATATCCTGTTTATCAAAACCATTGCACTTCACATAAAGCCTACAGGGAAATAATAACAATTTGTAAACCCCAATATTTATATGTCAATATGCAACGTATCCCTGTACTAGAGACAGAGTCTGAATCAAAAGGAAACAATCAAAAGCAAGCTATTAGGTTATTTGACAAAGCAATAAGCAGCATGAATGCATCTTAATCAACAAACAACCAGGAAGAAAAGGGAATTCAGCAACTGCAGCAACCCAGGAGCAACATTAGCAAACAGTAATTAGCAGACGCCAAGAAAACCACCAGCAAGCTTTAGAGAGCAATAATCCACACAAACAATGACACAGAAAATAACAAACAAAGACACAGAAGACACTCACCAGAGCTTGTTGAAGTACAGCAGAGGAAAGCCTTTAGCTTGATGTGTCGATGTAGCTTCAAGCAATCATAGTGTCCAGTTTGAGGTACAGTAGCACACATTTCTCAAACAACAAGGTGCCACACAAACACTATTTCATTCACAAACTCCTTTTCAAGCACCTTGATGCTTTTATTAGCGATTTAGCTTGATTATAAAAGGATTCAAACATAGCAGGAAGTGTGTGTAAGTGAAAACTAGCAGCAAAGCCAAAGAACAGGTGGAGCTTCACTGTTTAAATAGGCCGGCTCATTACAGAGGGTGCGCTTGATTTGGCTTCCACTGAGGGGAGTGCATCACATGTGTAGTAGGAAGTTGCCTGTTGTGCTACATTTATGTGTGTGTGTGTGTGTGTGTGTGTGTGTGTGTGTGTGTGTGTGTGTGTGTGTGTGTGTGTGTGTGTGTGTGTGTGTGTGTGTGTGTGTGTGTGTGTGTGTGTGTGTGTGTGTGTGTGTGTGTGTGTGTGTGTGTGTGTGTGTGTGTGTGTGTGTGTAAGACATGCATGGTTTGAATTGAGGACTAATGCAAATAGTTCAAGTTTGACACTATATTGTTGAAAATATTTTAGAAAAATAAGTCGCTGCACACCTGAGTGAGTGACAGTAGTGTTCCAGAAAGGATTCATGGGTGTGGCAAATCATAAAAATGTGAACGCCAATTATACGTTTAGTTATTTACGAGGCACAAAGATCAATATGCTGGTTTCAGCCTCTCAATTGGAAGATTTGCTGAAGGTTCTCTGTTGTAATTTGATGTTTGCGGGTTTCTTTACATGTTGATTAATGCATGTTTGTGTGTGTTGGTATCAGGACACTCTGCTGGAGCTGCTGTGTGATGCCGTGTCAGCGTCGGTCCGGCAGGGAAAAGGCATCGTGATCTGTGGCTTCCTGAGAGACCTGAGGAGGGCGGAGGAGTACCAGGCCAAGGTCAGAGCACCAGCTGACACACATGTGGTTCAATCTTGATTCATATTATGTTAAAGGTTACCTATTATGCAAAATCCACTTGTTCATGTCTCTTCTACATCAACATGTCAAGCCTCTGTGTAAAGAGATTCTGAAAGTTTCAGGAAAAAAGATTCGCTCACTTTTTGTCCTGATCCATTTATATAAAAACCTGTCTGAAAATAAGCTGATCAGATTTTGGCCACTTTATGATGTCATAACGATTTTTTTGGCTTGTGTAACCATTAGCCAATCAGCAACCAATGTTTCCGGGGAACTAAATTCCGGGAACTATTCCTGGGAAAAGTACTTGGTGTGAAAGCGCCTATTGTGTTCTTTTAACCAAATATCTCTCAGAGGGGCGTGGGGAGTGGCTCCTTATTTTTCATCTGAAGTAACAGACAGAGAATCAGCACTTTGGAAACAGGGCTGAAACAGAGGGGATTATGGGATGCTGCAATGCACGATCTGTTTGTTATTTCGAGTCAAACACTTCGGAAACATGTTTTGTATATACAGTATCTGAGACCTATAATATATTGATGAAAAACAGTATAATAGGTGACCTTTATCACTTTGGAAACTTGTTGCTGACTTTCCTCTTCCTGTCTCCTGGGTCAGATGGGGGAGCCCGATGCCGTGCTGCTGCTCAGCTGCTGCACCGACACCATGTCCAGCCGCCTGCAGAGCCGCAGCAGATCCTCCTCCGTCCCCCCCCCGCTGCTGACAGAGAGGGCGCGCTGCACCGGAGGGTGGAGAGCTCCTGCAGCGACAGCCAGGCGGTGGCAGATCACTACGAGAGCAAGAAGCTCCTGCACACGGTAACAGCCTTTAGAGAGAGATGTGTTTGTATTCAGTGTGGCTGGAGGCGGCTGACACTCAGGGTAGGGGGGTTGATTCCCTCTCAGGGCAGCAGCAGTTCACACATTACATTTAAAGGCCCTCCAAACCCATATTCCGGGAAGTTAATTTAATTTTCTCCCAAAAATATTTCCTTCAAAAAACTGTAAAATATATCCAACAAGTTCCTGAGGTGTGTTTAATGCAAAGCAATTGCACCTTGGGTACAAAAGACCATATATGTATCTAATTACATCCCATAGTTTGTATTTCACATTCTTTTAAAGTAGATGTTTGCAGATCAGAGTCAGATGCACTTCAATCTTGTCAAAATAGATCCTGCCAACTGCTCTTGGTCAGCGTCACAATGTATTGTTCATACTAAAGTACCTCTGACTAATGAAACTGTTAAAAAAACAGCAAATGATTTTTCAACTGAGAAAATGTTTTCCCTTAAAGCAGATAAGTGCTCCATAATACAAGGAAAACATGACACAACACACAATACAATATATACACTGTACCTTGTGTTTAGAGCAGTGCATGGAAAATGTAAAATTACCCTAGAAGAAAATGTGAAGGCTTTTACTCTTTTTCAAAAGGGCTGCAGTTCAGCCTCATCTTGTGGCCGAAATTAGTGTTACAACAATACGGCAATCCAATTCTAAAAATGTACATGCTTAACTTTGTTCTATTACCTGTTTCAAAGATCACTAAGTAATGTAAATACGATTATCCTGGCAAAGCAGCGTTTTTTTACCGGTTCTTTACGTCATAAAAAAAGTAAATGTTAACAGGAAAATGGATCACCACACATTTTCTCTTTCTTCTGGGCTTCACGACTCATCTCTACTACGCACATTATTTCAACACATATTTGAGGCAGCAGATGGCTCGGCTGTAGCTCAGTGGTTACCCCTCTCTGTGTGGAGCTTCTTTCACTGACGTCTGCACTGTCACGAGGGTCAGCAGATTATCACGTACATTTCGTTCAGGCGGGTTTAACTGTCATTAAAAATGGGCCGTTTGAAATGCCACATCAGTTTTGTGTGCGTGTGTGAACTTAAATGCCACCGCAGGTATTGAGGTCACCCATCTGCTGTGAGCTCTGCAGCAGACTTTAGCTGTCCTCTGCTGCTGATGTTTGATGGGGGGGCCACAGGAGGGTCCAAGCTCATTGTTAAAGGGGCACTGGGACCCTGTTGGCCCCCTCCCACAGAACCATGCTCAGACAGTTATTCTCTCTCCTTCTGCAGATTGACGCTGAGAGGCCACCAGAATGCGTCTTCGCACAGATCTGCCAGGTGATGGAGAACTTCTGATTTCTACAACTTCCTAATCCTCACCATCAACCCCCAAACTCTGCTGTCCAGGAGGTCCACCTGTGCAGACCTTCTCTCCCCCCCACCCCCCCCATCTGGAGACATCCCTTCACAGTCACACACTCTCTGAACTGCATGTCCCCCAAAGTGAAACCTCTTTCTGCTTTTCACACTGACGAAGCGCCCGGTTTTATCACGTTCTACTTCACATGCATTCTCTCTCTTACATCGACCTCAATATATGCTGCCGACTGCCGGAGTGAGCCGATAACTGTCCTGAATAAAAAGCATGGCCTGCTGTGACTGAGAGCATGTCTCAGTTGAATGTGAAAGCTCGCTAACAGAAGGAGCACAGAGTTCCCGCCGCGCTGCAGATGAAATGTCAGCGTGTTCTCATGCTCTCATGCACAGCAACATGCTCTGTATCGTAACAAGCATGCAAAATTACAATCAAGATTTACTGCCTTTTGTGCGTCAATTAAAGAGCAGAGAAGAATTATTTAAGAATGTCTTTATGTTTCCGAGCTCATCGTGCAGGTGCTTGTTTGAGTCTGGATTTAACATTCAATAAAGCCAGTGCATTTGCTAAATTAAGGACTTCTGAGTTTGTACTTTGGGTGTGTGTGTGTGGAGAGAATGCTCACAGCTGATCCTATAGCGCCATCTGCTGGTGGGAAGATCACAACAAATGTGCTACAATTATTTTAAAATGTAAAGGGATAACATCACACATAAATACATTTTGGAAAATGTTAACATATGTTTGGCAACACCTGGATGTATCTACGTTACTTGCACTCTATACAAATTAAGTCTTTTATAATAAATATTTGCAAAAATACAGAAGCACATAAAGTGATTATTGGCAGATACAAGAGGTGATCATTTCGCTGTGAAAACTGGATATCTTCAAACGTCTTGTTTGTTCCAACAAAACAGACATTTAGACAACAATTTCATAAAACTCCAGCAAATCCTCAGAAGGTGGATCCAGACATGTAATATTCGAGTCATTGAATAATCATTGCATCTTTAAAACTACAGAACCAAATTTGGAGCCTTGAGTGACGACAATAACAACCCAGGAACCACAGGTGTAGAAACACTATTTTCACATACTTTTATTTCCACGGTTCTCCTCTAGCATTTTTTTTTTTACATTATTATTTTTTTACATAAGAACAGACTGTTATACACAGATATTGAAGCGGGGCAGAGGGGGGTGAGGGAAAGGAGACGAAAACCATACCAAATGGTGTCTACTCAAGCACAACAAAATCTATGCGTATAAAACTGTGGGTTGTTCCACTGTGGAGGCTCCAACCACTACCCCAATTCTTTTTTTAAATAGATTAATAAAAATACAATCTTTTAAATGGACCTTTTTAAAAGTGGACTGCAAAAATGAAAGAAGATCTAGAGGCATGATGACTGGATCGATAATGGAGGACGATGGTGCCACGCAGGAAGGGAGGAGCTGTGGTTCAGAGGTGGAATTTCCTCCCGAAAAACAAAAAACATAATGTTTAAAAATGGCACACAGTAACTAGCGCTGGCTACTTTTCACCATATACTTTTACACTCAACATGATCAACAACGGCACACATTGCGGGAGGAGGAAAATAATAAAATAAACAGAAACGTTTCGTCCGCCTGCCCTCAGAAACTTTTGCTCTCCGTGCTGTAGTGCTTCCTGTTAGACATGTTTTAGTGGAGAGAGAGCAAAGGGAAAGGAAATCGAGATGAATGTGAGTGTGTGTGTGTGTTTGAAGGGTGAGAGAGCAGCTTTGTGTGTGACAGTGGTAGGGGATGGCTCCAGTCTGTTTAACACATACAGGTGTGTGTGTGCGTGTGTTGTTTGTGTGTGTGCAGAGCGTGGTGTGTATCGGCAGAACTTCCTACAGTCTGCGGCCAAAAACAAACCCGCCTCTGCGTCACTTCTCTCGCAGCGACTTCTCTCACTGCGACTCATAAATACTCAATCTACGGATACCTAGCTAGGACATTTTTCACTCTTGCATAACACGGAGACCACATACACACATACAAATCACCGATGTGTATCTTCACAGTCCGCTGTGACCACACATCTCCATCAGACTGATCTCCAGTTTGGGAGCAGCACAGGGAGGGGGGTGAGGGGTGAGGAAGGGGGGGTCGGGGGGAGCCCTCCTGGAGTCACAGAGCTCGGGAATGTCGGTGCGCCTTCTTGTTTTTTTTGTGTTTTTAAAAATAGTGTTTCAAATCACAGATCCATTGAATGACCTGGCTGAGGTGGAGCAGGGCCTCCTTTGTGAGGAGGATCCAACATGGCCGCCCCACCAGCAGCAGCTCTGCCCCCCCGCCTGCCTTCCTGCCGGGCGGCGAGTTGAGCGGTGTTCTTACACTTGGAGGATGGAGCCATGCACAGAGAGGCCTGTGGGATATGTGGAGAGATTCTGGAGCGAGAGGCGCGGACCCTGTCATCTGTTGGCTGGAAAGTAGTTTGGGTCCAGGTAGTTGTAGCCCGCGCTCTGCGGCAGGCAGTAGTCCCGGTCCAGAAACGAGTCCTGCTGCTGCACCGGCTCCAGGTGGTGGTTCGGCTTGTGGGTCTCCGTCTTGAACAAACTGAAAGACGGGCAGTAAAAACGTGTCAATTGAAAAAGCCACTGAACCATAAGAAAAGAGCAGCTAAACCATTTTGACTTCAAATGGGCTGTGTCCATCCAACTGGACATCTTTTCCATCTATACCCCTCTGAAATATCATGTACTGTTATGGCGCGTTTCCACTGTAGCGGGTAGCTCGCTTTAAGCGTGCCGAGTCGTGCGGGGCCCGTTTTTGGTTGCGTTTCCACTTGGCCTAGTTTTGGCCCGGGGCCACTTTTTCACCTTTTCTCTGGCCCGACTAAAACGTGGTTCTAGGGCCAGGAACAACCAGGCTGAGTCGGGCTGAGTATGCTAAACTAGAGAGAGAATCGCTGGCAAGGGGGCTACAACTACAACAAGATGAACATATTTGACCGTGATTTAATTGTAATACACGTTTCAAAATAGGTAACAACATACTGATACCGGTTAGTAAAAACCATGAATTAATGCGTGTTTTCTAAATGTAGCTTGGCTAAGCTAACGTTATATATGCTCCGACCGTCCACACTCACAGCAACGGCCTATACAGACATAAATAAACCAGCGACTGTATTCGCCATGACACAGGCAGTCTGTGGTTTGTACTTGTTTAACTTTTGTCAAGTTTCTGAACAAATATGAAGAGCTGTGAGCTCTGAGTGCAAGAGCTAACGACTGTGTTGTTTTTCTGGGGCTCTCATTGAAGATGACGTCACGGCTCCGCCTACACTGCGTTACTATAGTAACTGCCCCAGTTCCTAAACTGTAATGGAAACGCAGCATTAAAGTGAGCCGGGCCTAATAAGGCCTAACCCAACCGAGCGAGGCCGAGCGAGGCCGAGCGAGGCCGAGCGAAGCCGAGCGAGGCCTGCAGTGGAAACGCGCCATTAGAGTATAATATGATAAGTTAGGGATGCTGCAAGCCACCCTAAGGACTAGATCGAGCACATTTCAATGGATCCATATCAGCTTAAATTTAGAGCGACTTTGAGCATTAGGAAAAGGGTTATTATTATTATTATAAATTAACCCTACCAGATGGTCATTCTTTCTTTATAAAAAAACGATTAACGTTAAACAACAAGACAGGAATGACTGTTTACGGTTAATCCAGAGAAGTTAATAATTTGCTGCCATAACAAGGCGTCACTTTCAACATTGCACATTCAAAAGGGAAAGTGACCACAGTTTGAACCATAAAAACATCTCTTATGGTAGACAAATTATTATCAATTTTAGGTTTATATTATTGTTTTGTCCAATTCAAACTGCTAGTTGTTTTGTGGGTTTTTTCTCTGGCGGCTGAGGAAGAAGATCTCACCAGTCGGAGCAGTTGGAGCAGAAGTCGACAGAGTTGTCCTGCGGACAGTCCTGACAGTGCCACCTCACTCCCTGGATGGGATCCATGCCGCAGACGTCACACTGCACAAAACAAACACATCTTCAGAACAGCATTCAACTATTCTTTCATTCATTCATGAATAACAGTGATTAGCAAACACTGGAAAATAACATTTGAATGTCTTGACTGCCTGTCATCACGTCATGGATAACGTAGTCATTTGGATATGGAAATACTACAGTAGCACTATAATATAAAGTATTATATATCCATCAAACTGTAACTATTTCCACAGTTTTCTACTAGTTCAAAGCTTCCTCTATTTCGTTGTGTGCTGCATTGTGGGATATATAACATCCCATTAAAAAAATTGAGTAACTCTAGGGTGGATTCTGTCATTTTTAAAACACACTGTACCATGTTTAGAAATGTGAGAATGAATGCATAGTTGGCAACTGGACCCAAACTTCGTCCCTGTTGGCCAAATAATAGTCTCTCCTGTGACCCTGTCATTTAGTTACCTCTCATACAGCAGTGGTATATGATATGCAGTAATATGTATAAAAATGTTGGTGTGTTGTAGGGCTGTACCCGAATATCCGAATATTCGTTCGTTGGAGTACTATTCGGGTTTCAATTTCGTTATTTGTTCTTTTTTGTTTTTAAATGTATTGAAATCTCCAATATCAACGTAAGAGCTTGTGCCTCTTCGGGGGGTGCTAACACTTAACCATAAACGTTATCGTTTACTTTTCTCCGTCTTTATATGTAGATATTACTTTTTCTCCATTAATCTCCGTCACGTTGTTTCCATAGCAACAACAAATTCCTGTCAACTGCACTAACTCTCCTTCAAAATAAAAGCATGTCCACAAATAGGAAGCCAAGCCAAATTACACTTAAGACATATACAACTGCAACGAAAGTAACAAACACAATGCGATATTCTTTTCAATTTCAAAGAACACAAATTGGGTTACATTAACAAATAACTATAAAAAACAACAATACTGTAGAATAACAAAAAGAATGCTGTGAATAAACCGAAATACACGTGTCTAAGCGGTTCGCTGCTGATGACTACGCGCAGAACGAATATCCGGAGCCCGAAAAATGGTATTCGGGAGAGCCCTAGTGTGTTGTACAGTACACAACAGAAGTGTGCAAAGTGTTCACCTTGAATCCTACGTGCAGCATCTCATCCTTGTCTTCGTGGATCTCCTGCAGCGTCTGTTTTTTCAGTCGCTTCAGCTCCAAAAGCTCTTTGTACTCCGGCAAGTTTCTCAACTCCACAGGTATAGTCTCTTCATCCTGAGTGGGAGGGAAGAAACAAACAAACATTCATCAATATACACATACAGAAAGAAACAAGACAGGAGACATGATGAGTGCTAGGCATCACCAAGTTGCACGTCGAGGTCTTGACAGGAAACGGCTCTGTGAGAATCTGCAGAAGCATGAGCTTGTATAGACTCTTATTGCACTATTTTCTCTGATGTATTGTGTTGCACTGTTGGAGGAGCCTGTGACCTAAGATTGTCATCGACATAACTACACTGTAGCTCTGTACGAATGACAATAAAAGCCTTGAAACTTGAAATATTATTTTCTTCCTGCGAACTCGGCCAAAGTAAAGCACTGCGCTGTGAGGTGAGAAATGATTGCAGCCCTGTGTGGCTTTACTTCCTACGGCAGTGTCGGTCGGAGGGTTTGTTAATGGCTGGTGGAGCAGCCTGTGTTCTCAGCAGGGCGCAGCGACCCCGTTTCACTTAAAGGTCGCTGCCATCAAAGGGTGGAGAAGGGAAATGTCAGCTCTGGTAATGGCGAGCATCAGGAGTCGCGCAGTTCAAATGGAAATGGCTGGGTGGACCTCCTGCTGATTGAGCCGGTTTTCACAGAACACGCAGCAGTGATTAACGTAGGGAGAAAGTCATGATCAAATGCCTTATTTCACCAAAAGGTGTTTCAATTAAAGAGGGAACAGTCAGGCAGGATGAAAGGGAGCAGTTGTTTTATATCATCTGGATTTAAATAGACTTGTCAGGTATAAATCAAGCTTCCTGTGTACATAACATGCAGCTTTCCCCTCTCATTATCATACAGCTCACAGCTAGTTTGAATGATTCATATATATTTTAAAGTTAGTCATGCATATCTCTGTGAGCCTAAACTCTGCACTTTATGGTATTTCACATGTTCATAGTTCACTTCCTCCACCTTGGTCTATATTTATGCTGCATTGTTGGAGGAACCTGGGGCTGAAGATTTCCATTGCTATAACTACACTGTAGCTGCTGTGTATATGACAATAAGCCTTTGTATTGAACTTAGCAACTCATTTATTAATTGCGCATGGACTGCCGTTTCCTTAACCTGTTGAGACCCGAGCCTGTTTTTCAGGTCTCAGGCTCGAAAATGACATTCCCAGAACAATTGACTATATCTTCACTTCTAAAAAGGGGTAAATTAATGATCTTTTTTCTCAAAGCAATGATAAACCTGTGAGTTGGATGTAGAAAAGTCAGAATCAATATAGATGTTTTTATTTTAAAGTAAATTCAGATTGAACATGGTAAAAGAATGTAAATTATAGTTTCGGTCCAAAACAAAAACATGACTTATAGTGAAAACCAGCCTTGAATGATGGGATAGTAGACTAAAAGCTTTAGAAATCCAAACTATAACATATAATAAGTACCCTGTATCAAGATTGATGACCTTTTTAGAGAGATTTAGAAGAAAGAAACACTTCTGGGGTCATTTGGGTGCATTTTCCATATCTCTGGAACCCATCGGTCGATTTTGATGATTGACACCTCTTTTTAACCGCTAGAGCCAATAGAATTGAGGGGAAGTTCCTACAATCCATCTAAACATTACCCATTGGTGAATGAGTGATGTGCAGCCAGAATGCCCATTACCGGAAGCTGTCATACACTCTCGTAGCAGCTAATGTGAAATCTCCGTTATTGACATAAAAATGGAATTATGGATTATCAGTAATCATTTCAAAGTGACACAGACACATTGGATTAACCTTCCAATTAATAAAGCGTTTTTATCGTTTTAATGCCATTGAACACAACTTTTGATCAGAAACAGCAAAAGGTAAGACAAATTGGCCGTTTTTGCTACCTAAAGCTACGTTGTGTGATGTCTGGTTTTGCTTCCCGAGTTCTGGTCGCTCAGTGATGATACTTATATTTCTGGAATCTGTGGAATCTCAGCTTGCTAATCGATATCTTGTTTGTGCAGATCCGATAAGTAATAAGGGTATTTTACCGTGAGTTCAGTGCTAAGTGCATTAGCATTTTTTCTCTCAGGGCTAATTCAGAGCCTTTGTTATTATTTTATAGAAATGGATCAGGACAAAAAGAGAGAGAATATTTGTTCCTGAAACTTTCAGAGTCTCTTTCCACAGAGGGGACACATGGTGATGTAGAAGAGACATGAAGAAGAGGGGACACATGGTGATGTAGAAGAGACATGAAGAAGAGGGGACACATGGTGATGTAGAAGAGACGTGAAGAAGAGGGGACACATGTTTATGTAGAAGAGACATGAAGAAGAGGGGACACATGGTGATGTAGAAGAGACATGAAGAAGAGGGGACACATGGTGATGTAGAAGAGACATGAAGAAGAGGGGACACATGGTGATGTAGAAGAGACATGAGAAGAGGGGACACATGTTGATGTAGAAGAGACATGAAGAAGAGGGGACACATGGTGATGTAGAAGAGACATGAAGAAGAGGGGACACATGGTGATGTAGAAGAGACATGAAGAAGAGGAGACACATGGTGATGTAGAAGAGACATGAAGAAGAGGGGACACATGGTGATGTAGAAGAGACATGAAGAAGAGGGGACACATGGTGATGTAGAAGAGACATGAAGAAGAGGGGACACATGGTGATGTAGAAGAGACATGAAGAAGAGGAGACACATGGTGATGTAGAAGAGACATGAAGAGAGGGGACACATGGTGATGTAGAAGAGACAGAAGAAGAGGGGACACATGGTGATGTAGGATAGAGACATTGAGAGACATGAAGAAAGGGGCACACATGGGTGATGTAGAAGAGACATGAAGAAGAGGGGACACATGGTGATGTAGAAGAGAGACATGAAGAAGAGGGGACACATGGTGATGTAGAAGAGACAGTGAAGAAGAGGAGACACATGGTGATTGTAGAAGGACATGAAGAAGAGGGACACATGGTGATGTAGAAGAGACATGAAGAAAGGGGACACATGGTGATGTGAAGAGACATGAAGAAGAGGGGACACATGGTGATGTAGAAGAGACATGAAGAAGAGGTGACACATGGTGATGTAGAAGAGACATGAAGAAGAGGGGACAATGGTGATGTAAAAGAGACATGAAGAAGAGGGGACACATGGTGATGTAGAAGAGACATGAAGAAGAGGGGACACATGGTGATGTAGAAGAGACATGAAGAAGAGGGGACACATGGTGATGTAGAAGAGACATGAAGAAGAGGGGACACATGGTGATGTAGAAGAGACATGAAGAAGAGGGGACACATGGTGATGTAGAAGAGACATGAAGAAGAGGAGACACATGGTGATGTAGAAGAGACATGAAGAAGAGGGGACACATGGTGATGTAGAAGAGACATGAAGAAGAGGGGACACATGGTGATGTAGAAGAGACATGAAGAAGAGGGGACACATGGTGATGTAGAAGAGACATGAAGAAGAGGAGACACATGGTGATGTAAAGAGACATGAAGAAGAGGGGACACATGTTGATGAAGAAGAGACATGAAGAAGAGGGGACACATGGTGATGTAGAAGAGACATGAAGAAGAGGGGACACATGTTGATGTAGAAGAGACATGAAGAAGAGGGGACACATGTTGATGTAGAAGAGACATGAAGAAGAGGGGACACATGGTGATGTAGAAGAGACATGAAGAAGAGGGGACACATGGTGATGTAGAAGAGACATGAAGAAGAGGAGACACATGGTGATGTAGAAGAGACATGAAGAAGAGGGGACACATGTTGATGAAGAAGAGACATGAAGAAGAGGGGACACATGTTGATGTAGAAGAGACATGAAGAAGAGGGGACACATGTTGATGTAGAAGAGACATGAAGAAGAGGGGACACATGGTGATGTAGAAGAGACATGAAGAAGAGGGGACACATGGTGATGTAGAAGAGACATGAAGAAGAGGGGACACATGTTGATGTAGAAGAGACATGAAGAAGAGGGGACACATGTTGATGTAGAAGAGACATGAAGAAGAGGGGACACATGTTGATGAAGAAGAGACATGAAGAAGAGGGGACACATGTTGATGAAGAAGAGACATGAAGAAGAAGGGACACATGGTGATGTAGAAGAGACATGAAGAAGAGGGGACACATGTTGATGAAGAAGAGACATGAAGAAGAGGGGACACATGTTGATGAAGAAGAGACATGAAGAAGAGGGGACACATGTTGATGTAGAATAGACATGACGAAGAGGGGACACATGTTGATGTAGAAGAGACATGAAGAAGAGGGGACACATGTTGATGAAGAAGAGACATGACGAAGAGGGGACACATGTTGATGTAGAAGAGACATGAAGAAGAGGGGACACATGTTGATGTAGAAGAGACATGAAGAGGGGACACATGTTGATGTAGAAGAGACATGAAGAAGAGGGGACACATGTTGATGTAGAAGAGACATGAAGAAGAGGGGACACATGTTGATGTAGAGGAGACATGAAGAAGAAGGGACACATGGTGATGTAGAGGAGACATGAAGAAGAAGGGACACATGGTGATGTAGAGGAGACATGAAGAAGAAGGGACACATGTTGATGTAGAAGAGACATGAAGAAGAGGGGACACATGTTGATGTAGAGGAGACATGAAGAAGAGGGGACACATGGTGATGTAGAAGAGACATGAAGAAGAGGGGACACATGTTGATGAAGAAGAGACATGAAGAAGAGGGGACACATGGTGATGTAGAAGAGACATGAAGAAGAGGGGACACATGTTGATGTAGAAGAGACATGAAGAAGAGGGGACACATGGTGATGTAGAAGAGACATGAAGAAGAGGGGACACATGGAGATGTAGAAGAGACATGAAGAAGAGGGGACACATGTTGATGAAGAAGAGACATGAAGAAGAGGGGACACATGGTGATGTAGAAGAGACATGAAGAAGAGGGGACACATGTTGATGAAGAAGAGACATGAAGAAGAGGGGACACATGTTGATGAAGAAGAGACATGAAGAAGAGGGGACACATGGTGATGTAGAAGAGACATGAAGAAGAGGGGACACATGTTGATGAAGAAGAGACATGACGAAGAGGGGACACATGTTGATGTAGAAGAGACATGCAGAAGAGGGGACACATGTTGATGTAGAAGAGACATGAAGAAGAGGGGACACATGGTGATGTAGAAGAGACATGAAGAAGAGGGGACACATGTTGATGAAGAAGAGACATGAAGAAGAGGGGACACATGGTGATGTAGAAGAGACATGAAGAAGAGGGGACACATGTTGATGTAGAAGAGACATGAAGAAGAGGGGACACATGTTGATGAAGAAGAGACATGACGAAGAGGGGACACATGTTGATGTAGAAGAGACATGAAGAAGAGGGGACACATGTTGATGTAGAAGAGACATGAAGAAGAGGGGACACATGTTGATGTAGAAGAGACATGAAGAAGAGGGGACACATGGTGATGTAGAAGAGACATGAAGAAGAGGGGACACATGTTGATGAAGAAGAGACATGAAGAAGAGGGGACACATGTTGATGAAGAAGAGACATGAAGAAGAGGGGACACATGGTGATGTAGAAGAGACATGAAGAAGAGGGGACACATGTTGATGAAGAAGAGACATGACGAAGAGGGGACACATGTTGATGTAGAAGAGACATGAAGAAGAGGGAACACATGTTGATGTAGAAGAGACATGAGGAAGAGGGGACACATGTTGATGTAGAAGAGACATGAAGAAGAGGGGACACATGTTGATGTAGAAGAGACATGAAGAAGAGGGGACACATGTTGATGTAGAAGAGACATGAAGAAGAGGGGACACATGTTGATGTAGAAGAGACATGAAGAAGAGGGGACACATGTTGATGTAGAAGAGACATGAAGAAGAGGGGACACATGTTGATGTAGAAGAGACATGAAGAAGAGGGGACACATGTTGATGTAGAAGAGACATGAAGAAGAGGGGACACATGTTTGATGTAGAAGAGACATGAAGAAGAGGGGACACATGTTGATGTAGAGGAGACATGAAGAAGAAGGGACACATGGTGATGTAGAGGAGACATGAAGAAAAAGGGACACATGTTGATGTAGAAGAGACATGAAGAAGAGGGGACACATGTTGATGTAGAAGAGACATGAAGAAGAGGGGACACATGTTGATGTAGAAGAGACATGAAGAAGAGGGGACACATGGTGATGTAGAAGAGACATGAAGAAGAGGGGACACCTGTTGATGTAGAAGAGACATGAAGAAGAGGGGACACATGTTGATGAAGAAGAGACATGAAGAAGAGGGGACACATGTTGATGTAGAAGAGACATGAAGAAGAGGGGACACATGTTGATGTAGAAGAGACATGAAGAAGAGGGGACACATGTTGATGTAGAAGAGACATGAAGAAGAGGGGACACATGTTGATGTAGAAGAGACATGAAGAAGAGGGGACACATGTTGATGTAGAAGAGACATGAAGAAGAGGGGACACATGTTGATGTAGAAGAGACATGAAGAAGAGGGGACACATGTTGATGTAGAAGAGACATGAAGAAGAGGGGACACATGTTGATGTAGAGGAGACATGAAGAAGAAGGGACACATGGTGATGTAGAGGAGACATGAAGAAAAAGGGACACATGTTGATGTAGAAGAGACATGAAGAAGAGGGGACACATGTTGATGTAGAAGAGACATGAAGAAGAGGGGACACATGTTGATGTAGAAGAGACATGAAGAAGAGGGGACACATGGTGATGTAGAAGAGACATGAAGAAGAGGGGACACATGTTGATGTAGAAGAGACATGAAGAAGAGGGGACACATGTTGATGAAGAAGAGACATGAAGAAGAGGGGACACATGTTGATGTAGAGGAGACATGAAGAAGAGGGGACACATGGTGATGTAGAAGAGACATGAAGAAGAGGGGACACATGTTGATGTAGAAGAGACATGAAGAAGAGGGGACACATGTTGATGAAGAAGAGACATGAAGAAGAGGGGACACATGTTGATGTAGAGGAGACATGAAGAAGAGGGGACACATGTTGATGTAGAGGAGACATGAAGAAGAGGGGACACATGTTGATGGAGAAGAGACATGAAAAAGTGGATTTTGCATAATAGGTGACCTTTAAATAATAAAAGGAAATCAATGCAGTTAAAGTGTTTAGTGTGATGTGACTGACCGAGTCATCAGCCGAGGCGTCCTGAACGCTGCCGTAATACGCCGCACGCTCGTCTTCTTCATCCATGTAGACCGGAGGCTCGTAGGAGGCGAGGAAGGTGGAGGGCCGGTACAGGTGCTTGTTGAGGTGGTGCTGCCTCTTACTGGACGCCTGAGGGATGAACAGGTGGAGTTACAGGAGCAGGCAGATTCAAACAGTTCCCTTTAAACATGTACTTATTTTTAAATGTGTTGAAAGTCAACTAAAAAGCAACAATTGTGAATTATAAATATTTTTTTTATATTATGTGTACAATCAATATGATAATACAGGGTATATGCAGGAATCCTGAAGTCAGATGTAATTCCTTTTGAGACCTTTTTTAAGACCCTTTCCATACATTTTAAGACCTCATCGCCACTTTGAGTTTTAACCGGTTACCTTGGCGACACACTTCACCTCACATTGACTATATGCAGTATTGATTGTCCTTCCTCCTTATCTTCCAACCATTTGGACGGAGACTTGCATTTCCCCATAACGATGTTGTTTAATAACCGGCGTAAACGGACCTTCGCGCGCTATCAAGCAGTGAGCGTGCGATGTTCTGTTCAGATGACGTCAAATCCAACGGGATGCCATAAATAAACTACACAGAATCACACTACACACCTACGCAATGATGACATTCAGGCAGACTGTAGAATACAACCTCTTTGGACCATTTATATACTTATTGAAAACAAGCTACTAAATGTAATACCTTGGAAAATGCCGTTTAATCCTTTTTAATAGCCTTCATTTTCACTAAATTGATTTATCAACTTTTAATACTTTTTTAGACCCCGCAAAAGTATGCAGAATTAAATAAGAAATGACACGATGCCCTTAGTTTATAATATTCCAATCTTATGTGTTACAGCTGACCATTTCTGGAGATATTGGCTGTAGAGATGTCTGCCTTTTTTCTAAAAATAATCGAACTACGGTGCCCAAAACGTCCCAAAAGAGAATCTTAAAAACTCAACAGCAATGTCTCTTTTTTTTTATTAAAGCTACTCCACAGTTGCCATCTCCAACACTCATTATCTCACAAAACAATAATCCAGATAAATAGCCCTGGAGAGAAGTGGTAACATGTCCCTTTTACATTCAAAAGAAAGCCCCATTAGTAACTCTTAAGTAACTCTTAAGTAACTCTTAAGCGGTTTGGTAAGTAAATAACCTTTAAATACCTTTTTAGTGTACATGCACAGGTTGGGTGTTCTTCCAGGCACGGGGATACCAGCTTTTGTCAGTTTGATGAAGTACTTTTGAACCCTACTGGCCACCTGGAATGTTTTGAAAGGAAAATGGCTGTGTTAATTATTTCCAACCGAGGTAATTGAGGTCACGCAAGTGTACGATCCTGCTGCCGGCAGGGGGTCTGTGCCTTTTAGCAAAGGGTACACGCCATGTAACAGTCTGTTTCAATAGTAAAAGGCACACAGATGTATCAGTGCCAATAAAACACAAGGACACATTAGCACTCAGGTGTAGGTCATTTTAAAAACATCAATTTTAAATGAGCAAACACAAAGCAGGTAATGAGCATAAATCAAACGAGCATGCATTTTCTTCCGTTGAATGGCATCTCTCCGTCACCTGTTTCGCTGTTCGATTGCCGAGCTCATCAGCGACCTTCTGCCACCGTCTGGACTCCACTTCCTCGGGAGGGAACTTCAGGAGAAGCTGCTCCAGTTTTTTCTAGCAAAATATACAAAACAACAGATTAAAACAATGTAAAGACAATTTATTTGAGGCATGGATGATAATATACTGCATTGCGACATTAGTGTTTCATGTATTTTATATGATTTTATCACAGAAATGTTTGATAGTAACTGGACTTTGGAGTGACCTGCCTCAGTGCTCTTTTAAAAAAACACTTTTTGAGAATGACCGTTATTTGATTTTATTTATTTTTGTATCACTGTTATTTATTCAACTCTTTGTTTTATACTTCTCTGTTTCACCATTTTACTTAGTTTGATATTACTTCCTATGTTTTGTAAGGTTTACATTAATTTAATTCTTTGTATTTAATTGAGTTCTGTTTTTATGAAAAGCAATTGGAAATGTGCTATATAAATAAAGTGTATTATTATTATTATTATGAAGTTATTCATTTTCTGAAATCCAAGTGAGAAAACAATATTATAATATCTGGGAAATACATCCCAGCATTGAACACCTACCTGCTCCTCCACCGTCCACAGCTGGTTGAAGGTGTCGGACTTGTTCGGCTGAGAGATCCTCCCCCTGATCAACTGACAAGAAAACATGAGTGACAGCCATGTTAAAAATACCGTTTAAAAGAGATCCGTCAGTGTGACACACAAAGCCCGGCTGTCAGAGGAGACTGGAAATTGGGAAAAACGCAGAAAACACAGTAACACTTCAGACTGACAAACACAATCCTGTGAGATGTCAGAGTGTAACCCCGGAGAATGCAAATGTGCCGGCACAACATGAACAGGCAGTTCAACACAAGGAATCCAGTTGTTTGCTCAGTGCTTGGCGCCGTCTAATCCCAACAATCAATCAAAAGTGAAACCTCACTGCCTATACAGAGGTGTGGGGGAGGCGGGCTCCTCATGTTTCCATAGATACCATCTTTTGTGCTCACATGTGCTGCATGCTTAACTCTCCCGACGGGTGAGAGGAGGCCTACGCATGTAATGAGGTAACAACGGGATGATTTGTAGGCCAACCTGCAGGAGATCGGTTACTCACCGGCTATAGACAGAAACGGATGGAGCTGCATCTGCACTAATGATATACTGGGAGACATTCACGGCAGAGTGTGTGTGTGTGGTGTGGTGGGGGGTGTGTGTGTGGTGTGTGTGTGTGTGTGTGTGTGTGTGTGTGTGTGTGTGTGTGTGTGTGTGTGTTATTTCAGCTGAGCCATACCTGTGCTTGCCTGCTGTTCTCCAGAGCGTCACTAGTGGGCAGAGACGAGTACATGGTGGACGACTCGCCTTCCTTCTTGGGCTCTACTGGACTATTTGGTCGGGCAGGCAAACCTGAGGGGAGGAAAAAAGCAGAATTACTACTTTTTAAGTGGAAGAAGAATCGTTAAGTTGTTCATTTTGATAATGAAAGGGAAAAACTGCATTCGCAAAGACAAAGCATATACGGTGTAAACATGCCTTGGTCAAAGATCAGCTTTAGCCGCCTGGTTTTGCGCTTCTTGTCGCAGAACTCTCTCTCAAAGTCGCTGAGGCCTGAGGTGTACTGATCCCATCCGATGTCAGGGAGCTGCACGACTCGCTGAGGACGCGGCAAGCCCAAATTAACCTGAGGGACACAAGAAGGTTCAAATCCATTAACAAATAACAAAAAACTAGGGCCGGGACTCGATTAAAAAAATTAATCTAATTAATTAGAGGCTTTGTAATTAATTAATCGAAATTAATCGCATTTTTAATCACATATGAATGTTTGACCTAAGAACAGTGAGAAGCAATTTTTTTCACATGGATTTTAGTATACCATTAGGCGCATTCACACCGCAGTACTTTTCCCACAAAGGTTCATGAGAACTTGGTTCATGAGAACTCTTTGAACCTGGGGGTGGATTAGGCAAATGAAGCATGGGAGTCCCAGCAGCCTTCCGAGTAAATCGCCAGAACGCCGACACCTCCTCATCTCCACCGCTCCCATGTTTTATTTTGTGTTGCCATAAGTTAGTCTCTCTGCGTTTCTGCGCTGGGCTAATGCTAATAATGCTAATGCAAGGATAATAAAATGGCGGCTTCACAAAACTTTTTGGGAGTTTTACGGGGCGTGGTTTGCAATCCGCCCAGCCAATCAGAAATATAGCTCTTTTCTCACAAGAGAGCCGTACGAAAGTCCCTGCTCTCTAGCAGCTCTCTGCTCTCTAGCAGGGACTTTCGTGGGGGTAAAAAGGTTCTCATGAACTAATTTGGTGTGAACGCGATAAAAGAGGCTAACGTCCACGCTAGCTGCTATATGTTTTGCATTGAGGTGATACTTGAGGCTTGATGTGCTGCGGTGATATGCGAATTCCTTTTTGCATAATTTGCACACAACCGTGCTCTTATCGACGCTTCCATCCGTCCGTTTTTTAAAACAACATTTCCCACTGTTGTTCACTGTGGTTTGTTGTTGTCTGAAGTCATGAACGTTAGTTGGTGCTCCAGTATAATCGGTACGCCTGAAACTCATCCAGTGAGAAACGTTCCGCGGTGCAAAAATAAGTGCGATTAAAATGCGTTAATTTTTTTAACGCGTTAATTTTTGTGTAATTAATTAATCTTAATTAACGCGTTAAAGTCCCGGCCCTATTAAAAACACATTTTAACTTCTTAAACTTTCCTGCATCAAGGTTGAACATGTGACAATGTATGAGAAGCAAACACTAAGACAAGTGCTTATGTTTTGGAACATTTTCTACTTTCGTTAACTATGTTTTGTACTGATAACTTTATGCTTTTTTAAAAACACAAACGCCAGGCATTGCTTAACGTAAATCAAGTTAGCACGGATGTCTGTCTTCTAGTGATTTATAAATCTGTATTCAAAAGACTGGGTTGCTGGCTTTATACTGAGCTTTTCAAGACTTGATTTTCTTTTGTTTGAATGCACGATATCCTTCTCTCTGCACACAAATTACCATACGCTAATGAGTGAATATAACATTTAAGCAGGTCGTCGCTTTAACACGTGCAACAGGTGTTCTGATTGTGTTCAGTGTTTGCATTTACATGAGTGGACAAATGTACGAATTCATTTCCCTTCATATTTTATTCATGAGCATTCAGAAAGAGAGAAAGGTAGACAGTCTGCACATCCTGTCTCAGTTGTGAACAGGTGCAGAACAGAATCTGAGTCATACAGTGGAAAAGGAGAAGTGGTCTGCAGTGAATCATAAAAAGCTCCCTAATATTTATTCAAGCAGCGTTTCAAGCAGCCAGGTATCCCTCAGGCTAAAAACCTAAGAACAAGAACTCCTTTAAAAAGGTCTCCTAGTATACTGTTTCTCATCAATATATTACAGGTCTCAGATATATACAAAACATGTCTCTGAAATGTTTGGCTCCAAACACCAAACAAATCATTGCAGCATTACCCATAATCCCCTCTGTTTCCAAAGTGCTGATTCTCTGTCTGTTACTTTAGATGAAAATAAGGAGCCCCTCCCCACGCCCCTCTGAGAGACATTTGGTTAGAAAGAACTCAATGGTGCTCTAGGAGGAGATTCAGGTGATAATGTGGGGGGGGGGGTTACCTTGGTTGGTGATTGGCTAATGGTTACTCAAGCCAAAACAACGTTATGACATCATAAAGTGGCCAAAATCTGATCAGCTCATTTTCAGACAGGTTTTTATAGAAATGGATCAGGACAAAAAGAGAGAGAATCTTTTTCCTGAAACGTTCAGAGTCTCTTTCCACAGAGGGGACACACGTTGATGTAGAAGAGACGTGAAGAAGTGGATTTTGCACAATAGGTGACCTTTAATAGCTATTCAAACTTTGCTGTTTAGTTACCCGTTTCTGCAGCTGCTCCACAAAGCTGATGGGATCGGCGAGCGCCTCCCTCTGTTGCCGCGCCAACGTCTCCAGGTCCAGGATGGCCTGTGTTCGCTGGGCCTCGAGGACCCCGATGGTCTGCAGCAGCCTCTGGTAACTGAGATGCAGGAGAGCCCGGTTAGACAACAGTGGGAGGGAGGGACGGCTTACATTATTCAACCTGACACTCGCAATGCTGCAGTGCATCAAACTTTTAGACCCCAGACGATGCATAATTCAATCATGGAGCTGAGGGCTAAAAGCGACTACACGAAACTGGTTGTAAAAAAAAAAGGTCTCATTTTAACATGGATGCCTGAAAATGACCTATATATGCAAACGAGACCATCAGTAAGAAGGTTGTCTGTTTGTATGTCGGTTCCAAAACCTGATTCCCAGAGGAAGCATTTGTTCACAGGCCAAGCTTTGCAGGGAGTAATAGTATGTTATCCAGAATTATATTTTTGACATTTTGTGGCTATGGTTGAAGCCGGGTAGGGTTAGCAGAGAGAACAAAAAGAAAACTAAAATCACGAACCAAAACAAAAGTCAACCTTGGCGAGTCATTCAGCAGATGGAGAGAATGTGCAGATTTTAAAGGATTCAAAACAGATCCCTTCTAAATAATATTTTTAAATAAATAAATAGTGAGATGTGGTTTTACATCACTATATAAATGAATTGTTGATGGCTTAACCAAAACAAGATCAGTATCCATACGACGGAAGCACTGCTCACTTTGTGCACCGAAGCCACAGAAATCTAACCAAAATGAATGCTCCTTGCTTTGAGTCATTGCACAAGAAATGAAACCGTCTCCAATCCTTTCCACTTATTTTGCAAAATACGCATTTAAAAAAGGCATTTAGTTTGCAAAGAAAATATGTGTCTCAAACCAGCTGCTCCTTTAGCAAATAATCAACTCATCTATTGCAGCTGCAGAAGGTAAGTGAAAGTTCAAGTGGAGGAGATGCACTTAAACCACTGCTCGGTAACTGAGCTCAGTCTTCATAGCAACAGCGAAACCTTTGCGTGTCAAACACTGGGTTTTGCAGCTCTTGAGGAGTCGTCCACGCTTTACAAGTCTGACCTTTCCTCTCACACCCTCTGGGCCACAGAAGAGCTGCAAACTGAGCTGTCAGTGACTAAGTGTGCTACTGACTACTGACAGTTTACTACATGGCTATAACCTAACCTAAAGTGCTCAGAGTGGATCAACCCCCCCTAACAGGATGTGAATGAAAATCAATGCACAGGACAGAATGTATTCAACAGCTGCCGTGGTTTGAAACTCCTGCAAGCAAAACATTCAAACAAGTCACCGGTGCTTGACCTCATATCCTTTCATTAGATACAGACACCACCCTTTTACACGAGGTGGCGCTCTGCTGACCTCGTTCTGCATCACTGACTGCGGTAAAGCTGTAAATCTGTCCCTGCAGCCACTACTGCACATTTCCTGTACTACAGTCCCTCTGACTCAAACGCAAGATCTCTGCAAAAGAAAACAGCAAGCATGCCGCCTTCCTCAGATGAACAGACGATCCGTGTGTGTATTCATCTGTTTACAGGAAGTGAGGAGGACTTGGCGCAGCTTCTCCGCTCTCTGGACTCCCGCCAGGTGTCCGAGGAGAAACCTGGTGTACCATTGCCACCTGCTGGGCCCCAATACCACTGAAAGCCACAGGGTACAAATAAAAAGCTGGCTCGAATAAAGTAGATGCTTGAAATCAGTCGAGGGGACTGTGTCCAAGTGGACAAAACTGCACCATGAAAATAAAAGTTGTCCTGTAAAGACATCATCATCATCATGTCCATTCTCCATATTCAGCAAACCCTAAAATGCCTAGTCATGCTCCCTTAAAAATGACTCCTTGCTGCATTGATCGGAGCCTTCAAATACTCCTCGCTCAGCAGAAACTAAAACTTGGCACGTCACAGAAACTTGGAATCGGAGAGCAGTGAAATCTTACTCTGAAGCCAGTCTCCAAATGTAACACATTTACTAATATTGGTGTCAAAGACAAAGGGACCTCAGCTGCTGCACCCCCCCTCCTCCTCTGAAGATACATCCTGAATGAGCTCAGCATGGGACCTGTCCACCATCATACACATCCCATCCTGTTTGACAACACGGAACAAACCCCACAGCGAGGAACCCTTTTCCTGTCAAATAACTCATCGCACTGCGAACAGACAGGTCCGAGGCAATCAGTCATTTTAAAATCCAATCTCCCTAGGATATGGAAAGCAGGTTCACACAATCACAGCTCTAGATAGAAGGTGGAAATGAAACGCTTACAAAGTGTAAAACCTGAGCAATACGGGAGCTATAGTTAGACGCTGAGAAACTACAAATAACGAAGAAGAAGAAGAAGAAGAACAAGAACAAGAACAAGAACAAGAACAAGAACAAGAACAAGAACAAGAAGAAGAAGTTTCAAAAGGGTAATATTGATTTCTTTAAGATTACTTTTCATTTGAACTTCTGAAGCTGTAGGTCAAGAACAAATAAATGATCCTTAATAAGTACAACACTGTCACTGTGGAAGAACATTTAAGATCTCTTGAGTTCTCTTAATGTATTATAAATGTAATATTGTTCAAATATAGTAGGAAATAGCCCGTAACCGTAACCAACCTGAGGGGTGGTTCAGAATCATTCACTTCTAATGATAAATACAAATGCAAGCATAGTCAAAGTATATAAACTGCTTCCCTAAAATACTTCAGCACTTTTAAAACACATTTTTAACACAAACAAATGCTCATTAACTCGGAAGTGACTTCCTTCAAAGCCAAAGAGCAGAACGACCACAGAGATCAACATGTGTGAGAGAGTTGGGCTGCTCAATTAATCGTATTTTAATCGCATTTACGATTATGGCTTGCAACGATTACGAAAACAACGTAATCGAAATAAAACGATTATTTATTTGTTTGGTTTTTCAGTTGAGTTATACTTAAAGTTCAGGGTAATCAACTGATAAAAACATACTGTTCAAAAAATAATTCTCCAATAAATGGATGTTTTCAAAGTAAATGGATAATCGTTTTTAATAATCGTGATATCAATTATTGACCCAAATAATCGAGATTATGATTTTTGCCATAATCGAGCAGCCCTAGGAGAGAGCATAATCCCCGGGAGCTCCTACATACTCTTTGTTGTGTTTAAGAGCCAGGTGGTCCGATTCAAAGTAATACACATCTGGCTCCTCCTCCTCTTCCTCCTCCTCTTCCTCCTCCTCCTCAGCAGGCTGGCTCCTCGTCACCTCCCTGCTTTGGTCCTCCTCTTTAGCCACCACGGCCACAATGTCCTCAGCCATGGAGACCGGCCCTTCACAAGAGGGGCCCACAGAGCCTGAGGGCGCAGGTTCCTCCACCATAGGGCAGGCCTCCTCCTGCAGCTCCACCTCCCCCTCTTCCTTCAGGGGACCATTGTCTCGAGGAGGAGAGCTGAGCTTGGAGGAGGAGGCCTTGCCACCGGTGGCTGCCCTCCTGGGTGAAGTCCGCAGGGTGTATCTGTGTTCATAGAGCTCTGTGAAAGAGGGGGGCGTGCTGGATACTGAGGGGTTGTACCCGGGCTCTGTGGGGGAGGGGGTTGTTGCTAGAGGGGGTGTAGTTTCTCCTGAGTTGCTGTTGTTGTTGTTGAATGGACTAATGTTCATGTTAGTGGAGGAGGTGGAGGCAGTGGCTTCCTGCAGCGGTGTTAGTGGCCGGCCGTTGGTGTCGTTCTCCGTCTCGATCACCTGCTCCTCGTGAGAGACACACAACGGTTCCCCCACCACGTCCACCTCCACCTCCTCCACCTCCTCCTCCTTAGCCACTATCAACTCGGGGACAGGGTCCATTGGAACAAACGTTGGTGCAGGTGAGGCTGGCGACTCCCCTGAGCCAGAGACCTCCACCTGCAGAGGGACAGAGTTTCTACAAGGCACAGCGGGGTGGGGGGGTGAGGGAGCTGCCGTCTGACTGCCGTTAAACAGCAACGGGGTGTTGGAGACAGAGGGGGGGGGTCGCACTCGGCTCTTCAGTGAGTGCGCTAGGTTCCTCTGCTTTATTCTTCTGGAGTCCATTGGAGGCCTTGTGAGCATTGGGGGGCCGAGTTGCCCCGTCACACTCCTCGTGTCCATCCTCTGCCTTCCCCTCCGTCGGCTCATCTTCCTCTTGAATGTGGACAGGTGAGGCGGGAGAAGAGTTTTGGCTGGGGAAATCCTCACAACTGTTGTCCTTGCTAGGCTCCGGGACAGACACTGGACTGTCAGATGTGAGAGGCTCGGAGTCCTCGTCGTGTCCCTGAGACTCTGCGGATCGGGAGCACCGCTTGGCCCTTTTGATTTGAGAACAGGCGTCCCGCGAGCCCTTCCCTCTGTCACAGTTCTCCGACTTCTCAGGACTAATGTCTTTTTCTAAACAGGATACGCTCCGTTTCCTGGTGCTGTTCCATTGCTCCGCCTCAGCCGGAGAAGCATTCGAGTCAGTCAACTTTTCCTGCAACAAGGCCTGTTGCTGGCCATCCTGCTGAGCGTCCTGCTTCGCCTCGTGCTTGGTGTCCTGCTGCGAGTCCTGTTTACCGTCCTGCTTAACGTCTTGTTTGGTGTCCTGTTTCGACTCCTGCTTGCCGTCCTGCTTCTTCTTGGGCGAGCGGGCCCTCGGCAGCGGAGAAACCGAGGTGTCCTCCGGCTGGGCGATGCTGCGGTTCCTGAGGGTTCGACCACAAAAGTTCTCATCCAATCCATTGAGCCCCACTGACGACCTTGTGACACGCGAGGAACGGGACGCGGCCATACTACGGCGGGTGCCTACAGTCTCCTCATCCTGGTGCTCTCTCCTCTGCAGCAGAATGTGGGCACCTGCAAAACAAACAGATACATGCATCACATTAGGTCCAAAACACGACTGAAGAATGCAAATATTTACAGCTGAATTAAGACATCACGACACCACCTTTGCAACAACTATAAGTTTGATTGGTGCCTCTTGCTAAGCATGCTAAACATGAATTCATGAATGGAACCCTGGGCGTTTCAAACAAAAGCGTTCACCGGTAGGCCTTTGTTAAATATGGCCTGGGTCATTGCTCAGCTCACACCAGAGAGTATTGATTTATCCTGTCATTGTAGCTAAGCAACAGCTTCAGTCCACGGGCTAAAGTAGATGTCTTATTACAGGTCCGTGCGGAAGAAAGTAAAAAGAGACAAAACATTACGCAATAAAGACACATCTCATTTTTTGACTGTTCTTTCTCGAGCATCTATTTGGGAAATATTGCAGCTCATATATACTGCTGCAAGGAAATAGCCATTTAAGATATTATATGCAGCAAGCATGCATGACGAGGGTAGCACAAGAAATGTGTTACAGACAGTGCCTCAAATACAGGATAGATTGTGTCGGATACTGGAAGATTGTTGCTCTATAAATGAGTTGTTAAAAAAATGTATTATGTGTGACCTCTTGACATAATTACTAGTTTGTTACTGAACGCAATGCATTGGTGACTAACAGTTTGTTTTGCTATATTCTTTATTAAACAAAAAAACAAGTAACACTTTGGTGGCTTTCTTAGAGCAGGTGCTTTTGTACTAAGTCCTTAACACACAGGCCACGTCCCTTCGTTAAATGTAGTACACCTCTTTCACCCTTTCCTGTCCATCACCCATACTATACAAAAAAGATAAAGCCTGCAAAATAATCATTAAAAAAGGTCAGATCTTCCATCGAGCCAACAACACCGATCACAGTCTCTTTTCATTTCACAAATGTCACAGCTTGAATCTCATCTGTATGTGCTTGGTAACCCGGGAGATAAAGGTGACGGCTGCGCAGCGAGCATTTGAAACAAGGAAAAGCCCCTAAAGCTGTCAAGCAGATGACTTGTAAAAAAAGAGTAAAATACCTGCATCGAAATCAAATGCGTATATATGTTTTATTGAGGGCATATTTATCCCCTCCCCGCAGAGGTTACTGCTTGTTCTGTCACACAAAGAATAGATCATGTTGTTCTGACACAGAAGCAACACTGTAATGCTTACAGATAACAGGTCTGTCATCTCACACTGCAGACTGTTTCTCTCTGAATAGCAGGTGTGCCAGAGGACCAACAGGCTGCAATCCTTCCACCGTTTAGCAACATGTACTAACATGGAAAAGCTCCAACAACAACAATCCTACACAAAGCTTTACAGGCTTAGAGTTTGGACAACCACAGGAAGTTGATTGTGATGTTCTAAACCCCGGAGGCAAAAAGAAAAGGCACAACAAAGATTCGCCTGAGGTATTCCACGGACGAAGTGCATTTTGACCCAAATGCACTGGCTTACAGCGTAAACAGGGGCAATAAAACGTAATGCTACCAGGTATGCTAATAGGTATTCAATTCTGGAAAATGTATTGAATACTAAATAATCCACAAATACCAGGGAGCCTTCAAGCAAACACAATTCACTGTCATTTCACTCCTTTGCTTTTCTCAAAATGAAAACACTGTTGCTATCGAGGCAACTTGATTCACTTATTAGAAGCTTATACAATTGTTATAAAGCTTATTCAGTGTTGTAGTACTTTGATTCTATCCATTGCATAAAGGTGAAGCAGATGCAAATCAATGTATCAAAGCTAATATGTTGTGACTAAAAGACTCTGGGCCCTCTGAGAGCCAAGGCCGTTCCAATAACTGAAAAATAACGCGTGTCTCCAGTTTCTTCCCCCTCTGTCTGGGACATTGAAAGGAAATAAACATATTTTCTAACAAAACCCTGCTCTTAAGGATTAAGCCATCACCAGCTTAGCCATTGCACTTTCCTTTCAAGAGGCATACTCCAAATGGTCCAGACCTGAAGGTAATGCTACCCTCATGTCCCAGGTCAAAGGTTGGTGGTTACCTTCGTCGCTTGCTTCGTCGCTCTTCAGAGTGAATACCAAATGCTTTGACAGGAGCCTTCTCCACTGTTCTGTAACAATATCCTTCCCCCTGCCGTCAGTGGAGACATCACGCCAAATATTGTTTTCGGCTTCACGAAGAGATTGAATAAACACCTCCCCAGCGTGAGACTGCAATCCTCAAGCTCAAGGACTTTAAATAAAAAACATACACGAATCTGCTTCATATATATTCCTCGTGAGTAGCTACAGATCAGGTTTCGCTCGAGCAAAACCAACTCGCAACAAATATCCTCGAGACAAAATAATGAATCAAACAACAGATGACAATAAAATGTAACGTGGTAAAGGTCATTATAAAGTGACTCAGTGGAATATGATCTCACTTGGTGTCCTTTTGCAGAAAATGACAAATTAGAGAATAGATCACAGCCATTAACAATGTGGACGTGAAAGTACATGAATCTGTGGCCCTGTCAAAACAGAGATTCGTTTTAAAAGCTCCTTGTTGCTATTTCCGGGACAATTGCTCTCCTCCTACACTGTGCTAAGCTAACACGACAACAAGAACATTTTGATAATATTCCTTCAGGGGGCAAACATAATAGTCACCTGGAACAAGCACTACCACATGCACACATTACTCACACTCCGCTAAAGACTCCAGCTGAGAAAGCTAATGTGATTTGGCCATGCATAAAATAAGAGAGAAAGAAAAACACAAAGGGGGGAGCAGCTGGGGGGGGGGGGGTCATTCAGACTGAGCACTCACTGTTAGACTCACAATCGACTAAACTAATTAAGTCTGCTCATCTGACCTGCTGTCAAAAACCTAATCATTATTTTGAAATGATCAGGGGGTTACCGTACGGCTTTATGAAACATTTGTCAACACGTCCTTGTCCCGATAATCCACACATTGTTTTCACAGCTGACAAAGCCATTCATAAACAACTCATTCAGGTGCCTGTCAGGGAAACATCACAATAAGCTTTGCGCCCATGAAACAATGGAAAGCAAGTTATTACGTTAATCCAAATACCTGTTCTAAGAGTAGGCTCAAAGGAATTTTAAAGAATGAGGCGTTATGTGAGACATGTCATCAAATAAAGAGTTTAAAAAAGGCCTGTTTCTTTTAAGTCCAAACTCTTAAAAGTACAAGAACTTTTCATTTCGGGAAACAATTAACAAACTGGCTCATTTTTCTTAAACTTAGTTTTATTGGCTATCGTGAATCAGAATCAAATCATGAATCACAGCTTCAGTAATAAACGTAAAAGAAATAGATACTGTTGGAATCCTGGAAAATTATTTATTTATTTTTTACACAGTTTTCTTCTTTAAATTCCCCCATTAAATAGTGCACGTTTTAACTATTTGTACCCCTATAAAAAGTTATTCAAATAAAAATAAAGGTATACACAGAGCATTGTTTTGGTAGACTATTCATAAATCATGTTAAAAATAAGGCCATAATGTCGGACAAGAGGTGACAGACAGACATTGCTTTGTTTTATAGGGGTCAAAGCCAAGAAGGTTGTGAACAAGTGCTTCAGACCACAGAGCAGCTTTGATTTGTGTTTTCACTTTACTGCTGGGTATGTGACAGTTACTGATACAAAACACAAAGGTCCTTTGTGTGTTTATTTTGTGTCACATATAAACATTTGACTGTGATAACTTCTATTCAAATATATAAGAGCAAGTTTAAAACTATCCCTGCCTTTTCAAGGAAAACATGTCAACACAGCAAGTACCTGACAGAAACTGTTTTAGCATTTTGGAGTAGAAGAGTTTACAAATGTTTAAGTCAGCAAAGGGGTAATTTCCAGTAGCAGGGTCTATGCAGGAATCCTGAAGTCAGATGTAAAACCTTTTAAGACCCTTTCCATACATTTTAAGCCACTTGGAGTTTTAACCGGTTACCTTGGCGACACACTTTACCCCACATTGACTATATACAGTATTGATTGTCCTTCCTCCTTATCTTCCAACCATTTGGACGCAGACTTACATTTCCCCATAACGATGCTGTTTAACAACCGGCGTAAACGGACCTTCGCGCTATCAAGCAGTGAGCGTGCGATGTCCTGTTCAGATGACGTCAAATCCAACGGGATGCCATCAATAAACTACACAGAATCACACTACACACCTACGCCATGATTACATTCAGGCAGACTGTAGAATACAACCTCTTTGGACAATTTATATACTTATTGAAAACAAGCTACTAAATGTAATACCTTGGAAAATGCCGTTTAATACTTTTTAATAGCCTTCATTTTCACTAAATTGATTTATCAACTTTTAATACTTTTTAAGACCCCGCGGACCCCCTGACTAGAGCACAGTAAACTTAAGTCCACAGTCACAATCTATAAATAAATATGACGTATTTTGCACATACCATGTATTGCACGTCCAGTCTATGTAATAACATAACATCCTCCCTTGTGTATGTGTCAACAGCTTCTTGTGTGGGGTTTTAGTCACAGGAATAAATGACTTTATTGTATCGATTATTTGGTAGGGACATCGCACATTAAGGAACACTTTCTAACTGGGTTGTTTGAGATCATAGAACATAACAAAAAACATATATTGTTCCTGTTAACTGATTTCTGAATTTCCATCCCAAAACCCAATAGAACAAGGGATAGTCTCTAATAGTTGCAAAATAGCTCTTGAGCAATGTTTTGATTATAAATGTCATGTTATTGCTCATTAATACATGGTTTAAGCATAGTTATATCTGTGCACAGTAGCCACATGGTTATTGTTTAGCTTTTGCCCAGCTTTATTTTCCTTGTGTTTATTTCTATGTATGTACAATAAGAGCACAAAAAAACCTGAGTCACATTGAGTGAATGTACGTACTTTGCCATGTATAACTTCTGATCCTGACAAGGACAGCGTATGCTCATAGGCAGCAGTTTAAACATGTTGAAGGTGTCATTGCCTGAATATGTTATGAGTGGGTGCAGCTACTCAGACAGACAGTACCCATGTGTGATTGTAATTCTCAATCAAACCACTTCCTGTACTTCACTAAGCGTGTGTTAGGTGAAGTTATGTTAACACGTGCGGATTACTTTACTATTATCATGACAGACCAGGACTTACACACGGGTCATTTTCTATCAACAACATTGTATGGCTATAAAACTCAGTTAATCATAAGCAAACACACACATACACAAGTTACAACACACCTTACTAGCTCAGTGTGATGAACACTATTGTTGGAGAAGCAGCTAAGCTAACACTTGAGTTTAGGCTGAGAAATTGCTTTTAGGAGAGAGGAGCAAGCTTTGAGCCGGTTTACCGTTTAGTTGGGCAGTTCATCTCGGTTGTTGACCTGTAGTTCAACACTTCCACAGGGCCTATTGGCAACAAAAAATCCACGAAGTGTTGTTGGTTTACACAACGAAAAGAAACGCTCAAATCACAACATCCCAGCTCATCAACTGCCGAGAGATAAATGTCTAAAAAGTTGAATGCTGTTAATCCGGAGACTAGACAGCGCTGCAGCTGCATGTGCCGTCGGCTGGGTTAACACTAGTTTACAGCAGGTGAACTCTTAAGTTTGGGATAAAACCAAAACAGTCAGTTCATGAAGCTGGGCAGCAAACAACTTCCAAGCGAGCGTTGATGGACCTGGACGTTAGCTTGCTGTTTAACGGACTAGCCTTAGCTAACTAACTTACCGTTAGCTCCCAGGGCTAAATATATCACATTAACGCTTGAGACACCAAACTGCAGACTGTTGCACCCGTGAAATTCACATATTATCCGACACGCTTCCCGTGACACCCAACTAACAAGTACACAACAGTATACAAGCCTGTTTTGTTCTTCTCATGAACGACTAGTTAGCCAAGTTGGCTAACGTAACCTCTGCTAGTTATCCCATAAACTGCATCGTGCAGTGAAGAATCGTGGCGGTTTGTTAGCCCCTGAGAGAGCGACACTAACATGCTAGCTAAACTAGCCCGACAACTGATACAGTCATTAAGTCCACCAATGATACACAAACCAATGGAGGGGTTCTCTACTAACATTGTATTACACCGAGGTTTCCAGTTCACACACCGACAGAAGCGACATGATTAACAGCAGTGCTATAACGGTAGTTAGTAACCAGTTAGCAGCTAACCACGGCTAGCTGCTGCAGCCGAGTAGAAGCTAGCCAGGCTAGCTGATTGTTCCGCGCATAACTTTGCCGATGTATTTGTGTACTGCGAACAATGCCGGTCAGACATTTTTGGAGGGTCAATAAATTAAGGTTTTGTCATTTGTTGTAATACAAGCAGCGAACTGCAGGCATACTTCTAAATAGCGTTTGTAGCTTAAGAATTACACATACCTCACTTCCGTAAATTTGCTGCACGTTCGGCCGCAGCCATGTTTTCAATCCAGTCAACTAGTCGGGGTGTGAGCCGACTCAACCGCGCTCTCAAAACGCAACACTATACTGTACATTTCTGCCCTGCCAAGAGTGCAACTCTTCTCGGGGTCCCCTCGTTTATTTAACCATTATTTATTGACAGTTTTTCTATAATGGAAAACACATAGTATAATTTACTTTTCTTTTATATTTATCCTTGTTCCTTATCTAACGACCACTATAGGTACCCAACAGAAATGGAAACAAAATCAATGTGATCAGTGTTAAACATGTTTTCATCAAGTTTTAATAGTGTCAGCCAGCAAAATGCAGGATAGATCGTATTCAAGTGACATCCATATGCAAAAACTTACAGTACAGCATCCTGATTTCCCCCTATCAGCATTAAGCAACACCATGCCCATACAAAAGAAAAAGGCCTTTAATTAACTAAACTGATGATGCTGAATACATACTGCAATATTCTTTATGTAGCTGTATATTTTAGTGAAGATAGATCCAGATCATGAGTTGCGTGCACATTTTATGAGCAGCTTGCATTAACATGCATTTACATGTGATGTTAAACTGTGATTGAGTGTTAAAGCATGCGTTCTTAAAAGACTCTGGCTGCAACAGATTTTCTACAAAAAAAAAACTATTAACATCATATTATTAATCACTCCCTTCTGTGGTAAGTTACCAAGTGCTGAATCTTTACCAACATACTATCAGTACTGGTACATTCAAATACAAACCAGACATTTGCGTGAGCATGCCAATTTGTACGTCTACAGAACAGTGCAAAACGAAATTAATTACTGAGACTACTCAGTAATTAGTCCCTTCATAACCTTTGATTTGAATCACTTTAAGTGTCACATTTTCCTTCTCTTACCATTCATTGGACAATGTTCTCTTTCAACAAGAAAAATATGTGATATATATACAGCAAGGTGTTTTGTGATTCATCAATATCAGCAACACAAGACACATGGACATAAAATATGTGCTCATTTTGGTCAAGAAAAAAAAGGAAGAAAAGAAATATGGCATTCAGTGGAATTTTTAGCTGCACAAAATGTAAATGCTTGGTTCTGAAAATAACCTGACATGAATACTACAGTGCTAATATAAATTTAAGAGCTCTTTATACAGATTTGTACAACATGACAAACCTTTTTTAGACATGTTAATTCCCTCTGTCAGCCGTCGAAGGCTGTCACGTGGCGGCAGAGTCCTTTGCTTGAATTCTTTTTTGAAAAATAAGAGTCAAGTGCAAAATAAAAAGGATTTTCATTTCTTGAATGTTTTACGTGGTTTTTCAAAGCTTGTTTTCTAAACAGAGCGTGTTTCCATTTCGATTTTCTCCTCCGACTGCGATGATTCTGCTTCCTGGTGGCTGACGTTTGGCCGAACCGTTACAAGTGGGCCGCCGCCGTAGATGGAGTGGAGGAAGTTCCACGTTTCTTCAGAGATCTGCCCCGAGTCAGCTCCTGAAGAGTCAAACACACACTTTTTAATATCACTAATATCTCAAGTTTACTAATACTACAATCCACAGAGGCTCTGCAGAAGTTATAAGAACAAAACATTTGTATTTATCCATCATTTACATTGCTTTTACTTATATAATGCGTCTTCAAGGAAAAGATAATCACAATAATGCAATATAACATCAATAATAGTAAGAGTTAGTACCTTGTTTGAGTGTTAAATGGCCGTTCTTGTTTACTGTTATCTTGGAATTATCAATGGCTCCCGGTTGATCTTGAAGGAGGAAGAAAGACAATTAGTTGTTACAATAATTCACCGCAGTAATATGCTTGCCTACATTATTTCTCAGAGGAACTTTCTCTTGCGTAATTGTTTCAAAGAGCAATGATGTTAAAGTGTCAAATGTTTTTGTCACACGATGAAAAGCAATCTCTGCTCCCCGCTTGCTACAGCGAGAAAAAACAAATATATGAGGAGCAGAAGTCAGAAGGAAAACAGAGATCTGCAGATGTGCCAGATGTAAGCTGTTATAAATAGATGTGACAATACAAAGCAAGGGAAGCAACACAAATCTGAACGAAATATATTTTGACGCTTCGTTTTGCTGTTGCAGGAGGGAATCTTGTCTCGGGGGACTGAAGCAAACTCTTTGAAGATAAATCGAGAGAAGATGCGGGACTACACAGTTTCTTTTGAACATGAGCAGCTTTTGGGAAAGGGAACATTTGGATGTCCCATAAAAACAGTGATATTTACATTTTCTACTCTTCATTTAAATGTATAGACCTGACCTTTTTTTTTTTAAAGAGAACAAAATCAGCAGCATTTCAAAGATGTTGTGACCCTATATGATTGTTCCTGTTCTTCAAGGAAAAAACATTGGGAACAAAGGCAAAGCTTAGAAACAAATAAATGAAAGAAAAACTGAATACAAAAAGAAATCAGAGGCAATTCAATAAAAAAAAAACATTACCAGATATCAAACACAACTGTCATGTATGAAACATTTTGCCTTTCAATCAGACATTTAACAGGGATGGGGGTTGAAAGGCAAGACTTCTGTCCAATTACCATTGTCTTTTCCTTTGACAAAGCCCTCCCACTCACGAAACCACTGCATGCTGATGCAGTATATGACCACTGGAGACTCCTCCTCCTGGAACGCCTTGTTCAGCTACAGAGGGGAGAGAGGAAATGGGGGAGGAGTGAGCAGTAGAGACAAGAGGGAGGAGAAAGGACGTGAAGGGATGGGGAGGAGATAAAGGAAGGGTGGGGGGTTGAGGGGGGTACAAAAAATCAAAATTAAGTGAGGATGAAAGGATTGAGAGGGGAGAAGATGGAAAAACCTAATCAATTCTCTCTGGTAGTTATTCCAATTAGAAAACAGTCTTAACACCCCACTGCACCAATTTCATCTTTCTTGAAATGACACAATCCCTGTTCCTCTTGTTATCTTACTCTCTCTTTCACACACACTCAAACATGCACACACACACACACCCTCTATCTCTCCTTTTGAGCAGACACTGCGAGTGAGCACACAATAACAGCTGCATCTGTCCCAATGCATTAATGATAAGGCTTTCATCGGGCTCACACCTCTCATCTCCTGCCGGGCTGAAGAGCAGCAACACATGCCGCCTATCAACTGGTTCAATAGACTGGAGACTAGGCCTCCCATGAGTATTGGATGCACAAAGGCTCACTGACACATTATCACCCACACCAATTTCCCCTGTATTTAACAAAAACTCAATTTATTTCTAGCGAGTGTAAAAGAAAAAAAACGTACCCTGACAAACATGTCCAGCTCTGATTTGCGCCGTTTCTCCAGTTTTTCTATTTCGATCTGGCACGTGTGGCAGACATACAGGTGGTTGACAGCTGGTCCTCCTCCGTACCTGCAGGGAGCCGTGCACATTAACTCACAAGGATGGCATTACACTTTACAAAAAGGAAATTATACTGCAATTGACTTCCCCATATAGCTTAATGTACTCACAGTTGGATCTGTCTACTGTATGTACCTGCTGTAAAGGTGATCCCACACGTTCTGAGGAAGCATTACTACCAGGTCGTCGATGGACGTTGCTTTGTTGGGGGGCACACCTGATGAAACATATTAAAACATCCATCAGATATTAACACTGTGACATGTTTAAGTGACAGTTGTGTAAGGAAGCATGTAAGCATGGGGTAATTCATATTTTGGTTATCCTGGCCAGAATATTTGATGTTGATCAAGATAGCAAAATATGCCTAAAGAATACTGGAACGCATTACCTTGAACTTATTTTAACAACAAATGTGTTTACTGTTTCAAAGATAGGAAACTTTTTGGTTTTTTTCTCTTTTATTGGTTAACGCTCCAACACATTGTACGTGATAGGCTAAGGGGGGCGACATCGCTAAGCGGTTGACCAATCAAAACGGAGCTGGCCAGCTAACCAATCAGAGCAGACTGGGCTCTGGTTTCAGACAGAGGGTGAAAAGAGGTGCTGCAGCACAGGCAGTATGAGCAATATAAAGAGCTTTTTGAACATTAAAGCATGGAGACATGTCCCAGTAGAGACACTATATGAACCTGAACATCATTATACGTCCTCTTTAACCTTTTCCATCTGAGAAGAAAAACGACCACTTTCATTTCCAAACTAAAACCATAATATTTGACAGGGTCACAAGTAGGGATGGGTATCGTTTGAAATTTATCGATTCCGATTTCGATTCCGGTTCTGCTTATCGATTCCGGTTCTTATCGATTCCCCGTTTCGATTCCAAAATTGTAAAATAAAGAGGTCAAACGTTTAGATAACAAAAATATATTTATTCTTAAAAGCTTTAACTGAAATTGTTACTAAAAAATATACATGCAATACAAATGTATTGCACAATAGCTGTGCTTTATTTTAACTGAGCTATGCCTGTGGCAAGCTAGCAGGCATTACACTTTGCCTTTTCTTTTTCTTTTTTAGTGTAGTGGAGCCTCACTTCAGAGTGTTTACCGCGACCTATCTTTGGTGTTATGAAGTGACTGAGCTCGTGAAATGTCTACGGGAGGGCGGGGGAGCATCGCTGCGGGGCAACTGTGGACCTCTGTCGCCTGTCAGCGCAATTTATATGATGCCGTTTAAAAAAATGAAGGGCGGTGCCGGCCGTCAGCGTACCGAGCCGGCCGTCAATGGCCCGCTGACGACCGGCCGTTCTGTGATTCTCCAGGTCCGCCCTGTATTCCACCGGGTCACCGCAGCACCGCGGCGCAGACGGACCCGCTGGAATACAGGGTCTACCGCGTTTAGGAACCGTTAAGCAGAACCGAAATTGTGTATTTTGTATGGGTACCCGGTACCCGGCATTTTCTTATCGGTTCTCATCTGGAACCGAGTTTCGGTTCCCAACCCTAGTCACAAGGCAGAATCATTGGGAACCACTACATTGTATTTCTTCTTGAGATATCATGGGCAATAACCTTTTGATGACGGCTTATTTGAAGATCTCTCCTGGGGGAAATTGCTGCCAGAGCC